AAAAAAAAAGAGCACCGGTACGTCAGGCTTCAGAATGTCACTTCGTGCCTTGTCACCACCGTGCTCTGCCTTCGTGCGGGCACTTGTGCACGTACAGCTGTGCTCCCCTCTCAGTTCGGTGGGTCAGCACTGGCAGCGCACGGCGGGTGACACCAAGGTGCCCTCTCACGGTTGATGACATTGCGTTGGGTTCCTGGGTGTTTCCATAAAGCATGGTGGTCTGCGGGAGGCGGCGCTCCTGGGACGTGTGTGCAGCTCTGTAACGTCTCGCTTCGTTTTAGCCTTTCCTTCCCTCGTCAGAAGTAATTTTGGGGTGTGAGTTTGTTTTAAACTTCGGCACACAGATTTAGAATAGGGGTGGGCGGGGACAACGTGGTGATCTGTCCAGGCCTTTGGGAGACTTGGCACTTTCTAGGAACCCTTAGGCAGAGATGTTACTGGGGCGTTGGAGAAGTCATGACATATTTTCTAAGGTTTTCTATGCAATATGCGTCATGGCTTTTCTGACGACCAATGTCAATGACATGTGCATCGTGTTTTAAACCATGGATGTTTCCCTCTGTAAGAAGTAAATCTTAGAAAAAGCAGGTAAGAACGTTCCTGAGAGACTGCCAGGATTGTGCATGGAAGCCTGTGGTTAAAATTCTTTATTACAGGGCCAGGAGGTGGCATGGTGGTTAAGGTGCTGGAATCCTACATGACTGACCACGGTTCAAATCCTGGACCTGGCAGCTTGCTTCCTCACTTTCCTTCTCTCTTTGTTTCTGTCTCTATGGTCAAATTAAAAAAAAAAATTAATAATAGTTCAAATTAAATAAATCTTTAAAAAATTATTTATTACTGAGTCGTTGTCTCCCAGCTTTGTGAACGGAACCTGTCTGGGCGTTCGATCTTAGGCCTGTCTGGAGCCGGGAAGACCACGGTGAGCATGGCCCTGGAGGAGTACCTGGTCTGCCACGGCATCCCCTGCTACACGCTGGACGGGGACAACATCCGTCAGGGTCTCAATAAGAACCTGGGCTTCAGCCCCGAGGACCGGGAGGAGAATGTGCGGCGCATCGCGGAGGTGGCCAAGCTGTTCGCGGACGCCGGCCTGGTGTGCATCACCAGCTTCATCTCGCCCTACACCCAAGTGCGTGGTGCAGGGCCGTGGCTCTTCTCGGGGGGAGGGAGTGTGGTGGGGAGGGGGGTCAGGCGAGGCCCAGCTTCCAGGCTGGATCCAGAGTAAAATAAGCAGACCGAAACAGCCTGTGCCACGACTTCCTCTGTAAGCCCAGTCTGGTAAAACCCGGTGTTATAAAACCCAGTGTAACCAGAGTGTCGCACTCAAGCCTGTGGGAAAAATTTCAAGGGTGACTTTGCGGTTAGTCCCCTGCACTGAACCCGTGGCAGGTGTCGGGCCCCATGGGGAACCAGGTTTCCAGCATGGCTCCTGCCATGGTCAGCCCCATCACTCACTTCCTCGTGTGTTCAGACCGGAGCAGCTCCGAGCCCCTTTTTACAGCAGCCCTGAGGGGCCCTGCTGCTGCTCTTCCCGAGGCCTTTGCTTCCCCGTCCCTGGAAGGTTCTCCTCCTCCTCTGAGCATCAGCTGAGTTGTGGTTAGAGAGTTCCACCTCCTCCATGCTCTGCTTCCAAACCCAGGCCTCTGGGGTTTGGGGCACACGCACTGCCCCAGCATGGTTTTCAAGTCACTGGGCCCAGGACCTGAACCGTGGTCAGCCACATGGGAATGCAGTGCTTTAACACCACACCACCCACTGGCCTCCTTTCTAGTATATTTTAAAAATAAAATAGATTTTTGTCTAACGCATTTTTCACTAACGTGGGTGAGAAGCTCTTTTGTGGTCCTCTATAGTAATGTCGTACCTTCAATTTGTGGGATTATTTTTGGCCGTTTTTGTCCACGTCTGTCATTTTATTTATCTTCTAGGATCGCAACAATGCGAGGCAGATTCACGAGGGTGCCAGCCTGCCGTTCTTCGAGGTATTCGTCGATGCCCCGCTGCACGTTTGTGAGCAGAGGGATGTCAAAGGGCTCTACAAGAAAGCCCGGGCTGGCGAAATCAAAGGTCCGTGGTCTCTTCCTCTGTCTCTCTGTCCATTTCCGGGAATGGTGACCTCTTCCAGGCGAGCTGGAGGGTCAGGAGCTCCTGAGAACGGGGCAGCCTTCCGCACTGTGTCTCCGCGTTGGCGGCCGCTGGGGCTGTGCAGTGACGGGGGTGTGGGCAGGTCAGGCTCCTGCTCCCGACCAGGCGGGGACTCTGCAGCTGATGAATGCTGCTCAGTGTAGGAAACTGGGCGTCGGCCGTCGGGGTGGCCACTTCTGATTCGTTCTAGGGAAGTTCTGGAGCTGTCGGGAAGGGTGAATTCCGAGCGTCTCCAGGGCGAGGGGAGGGCCTCACCTTGTGTCCTAGCTGCCCAGCGGTCCCTGGCTCGCGGTGCGATGGGATGGCTGCGTTTGGCTGGATGAGAACATTGGTGGCCCCCCACCCTGGTACTCATCCCGCACTGTGGAGGCTTCACGGGCTGCTCCCAGAGTTTCAGCTGTGAGGAACACTTAGGCCTGGACGGGGCACTTCAGGCCCTGTCTCTGCGATGGCCTTCGGTAGCAGTCCCGTTGTTTATCTCGTGGCCACCCTTTGACATTTGTCCTGGGCTGCAGGCTCATAGCATATGTATTTTAGAACTCTCTTGCTAACTGTACATCTTTTTTTTTTTTTTTTGAGAGGTTTTTGCTATAGGGTGCGTGTGTTCACCCAAAAGACAGAGACAGAGAGACAGAAAGCAAGAAATCACCCCCCAGGGGGGATGGCCACGCTGCAATCCCTTCTCCATTCTCCTCTCTGGATCTTGGGCACGCATGCACACACACCTGGTATGAGCTTAAGCCACCGGGTCTGGGACTCAAACCATGGTCAACTACATGGGAGTCCAGCGACATAGCTATTATGCTAACTGCTGGTCCCTTTTATATTTAATTAATTAATTAATCAATCAATTTATTTTTTATCTTTTTGGCTAACTGCACTTCTTAGTAGTGAGTCTGTATCTTCCATTTTAATCAAAGAATGAGCTGATTCCAAGGCAGACAGGCCTTGAAGGCCTTGAACAAGTTACTGACAGGCGATGTCAGGATGGGGACGGAATTCCTGTCCGCTCAGCCAGCCTGCCCTGGGGAGGTGTCAGGTACTCTTTTCTAGGTAGTTCCACGGCGACGCATGACAGCAGGAACCCTCTGTAATAGTCAGGGCCCACACGACTGCTCGGTGGTGTTGCCGCAGGTGTTCTTACCTTCTGTGTTCCCTGAAGCTCATGGCGGAGTTTGCCCGGCCTCAGCCCGCTGTCTGACCAGAGGACCCTGCAGTGGCTGCGGATGTGCCCTCGATCGTGCAGACAGACTGACTCAGCGTCATGTCCGTCCTCTCACTTTGTGACCGCCAGCATTCCTCTGTGTGGATGGGCCGCAGTTGCGGATCCAGTCACTCGGTTACGTTTTCACTGCTGGGGGAGCGTGCGCTCGTGAGATGGAGAGACAGAGAGAGGGAGACAGACGCCCTCCCCAGGGAGTTGGATGCCACAGCCCCCACCCCACCCCTCCATTTCTCCCACCTGCTGGGGTTTTGGATATGCACACCCGTGTTTGGCGTGGTGGTCGAGCCCTGGGGCTGGGATTTGCACTGCGGTCGGCCCTGTGGGCTCCGGCTCCCTTATGTAGTAGGCTGTGGGGCTGGAGCAGATCTTTAATGAAAGTGTGTTTATGCCAGGGCCTGGTCCTGTGGCCTGCATTCCTGTGGAGAAACTGAAGTACTCTGAGTCACCGCATGTTAATTCCTCATTTCTTTGTAGGTATTTACTTGAGAGAGAAAAGGAGGAGAAAAGACAGGAGTGCAGTGGACTCCCGTTATCTGTGGGTTCCATGTTAATGAACTCACGTGCTTGCTAAACTTTACTCGTAACCCCCACGTCCAGACTCGGCGTGTGGTCATTTGCACACACAGGGTGAGGATGGGACAGCATGTTCACAGCGGGATCGGTGGGCGACACTTGCCTTCTCGTTCCTGTCCCTGTATTGTAGAGTTTCTTTCTGAAGTCTGTCCATGCCTCGCCTTTCCCTATCTTACGCTTTTGCGGGGGTGGTTGTGCGGAATACTGTGTAGTGTTTTGTATGACAGGAGGCTGTGATGCCTTTGTAGAGAAAATAACGTGTCAGGTCAGCCCTCCGAGGCCTGCATGCTGTCTGCTGGCAGGTCAGCGTGAGCGGACCGGGAGAGGTGTTAGACGGGTGTTTTCAAGATGAAAATGCACGTCCAGCAGAGTGAAGGAGCTGATCGGTGACCACAGTGTGGCCAGAGACTGGCAGGAACCTCGCCCTGTATCTCAGGGGGGAGCCGTGGTGCGTTTCCACTCACTCAGTGTTTGCAGGGTCTTTATTGAACATAATCACTGTGAATAAGAGGACTGGCATGCATGTGTGTTTTAAAAGTTATTAGTTTTATTTATTATTATTTACTTTGACCAAAGAGAGACTGAGAAAGGGAAAGTGAGAAAGCAAGCTGCCAGGCAGGGCCAAGACTCGAACTGCAGGTGGCCACGTGGGAATCCAGCGCCTTACCCACCACGCCAGCTGCCAGCCCTGACGTGTGCGGTGTAGATACGAACTTGGGCACACCAGGAACTTGCACTGGAGAAGCAAGCCTGTTTGAACCCACCCTCCTCCTCTCTGGTACCTCCCCCAGGCTTCACTGGGATCGACTCAGAATACGAAAAGCCGGAGGCCCCCGAGTTGGTGCTGAAAACGGACTCCTGCGACGTGAACGACTGCGTCCAGCAAGTTGTGGAGCTTCTGCAGGAGCGGGTGAGTGAGGGCGGGCCGCCCGGGGACCGTAGCCCTCGAAAAGTCAGAGCGAGCGACGGCGCTGTTAGTGCTGAGTCACGTGTGTGCTTAATCCCTGCTAGGGCAGGAAGTTGTCTGTGTGTGTCACCGCGTTACGTGCTGTGGGGTGCCATACGTGTAGACTGCTGGGACTCGCCAGTCAGCGTAGACCTCGGGAGGCCCTGGAGTCCTGTTATCTCTGTCTCACCAGTAATGTCACTGCCCAGGACGAGAGGGATGGTCCAGCCGATCACTCAGCTCTGTGACCTGGCTTTCTTGGAGTTTTCAAGTTGCAGTCCGTGACGTGGCTAACCCTTCCTGGACACCGAGAGCTCCCACTTTTCCCTGTGACGGACAGCACGATGGCATCCTGGTGGCCAGGTGCTGTGGAGGGACCCGTGTAGGGCAGGTTCGGGACCACGGCCCTTCTCTGCGTCCTGGGCACGTGGGAGCATGAGCAGGCTCTGTGTCATCCCCACTCGGAGGCGTGTGGCTCCCCCAGACCCAAGTCTGAGTTCTAGAAGCTCATTGCCCTCCTCCTCTCTCCACCTGCCCCCTTCCCACCTAAGTCACCCAGTGTGCTTGGGCCGCCGGCGGGATCTGGCCTCGCGTGGGTCTGAGTGACTGTGGCCCCCTCTCTGCTGCCCGGTCCTGACTTGGTGGCACAGACATGAGGCAGCCCGGCCCTCACTCTGTCCTGACCATGGGTTATGGGGTTCTGGACCCCTCCCGACCTACAGAATCCTACTGCCATAACCTCTTCCATCTAACGTCTCACTGGACGTGTTAAACGTGCAACTTTGTAGAAAGCTTCCCGTGTCTGAGGACGGCATTAATGTTTAGTCTTTGAGTTGTCGCATATTATAAAATGCCTACCAGGAAGTTATCCTTGCTGATTCACTTCTCGGCTCCCCACCTTGAGCTGAGCCATGGGAAATAGCACAAATCTATCTGCTCTGATGGTTTCCCCGTGTGCTCTCAGGGGGACAGTCACCTGTAGGTCACCGAGATGTCCTCCTATAGGGTTTCTGCCCCTCTTTCTGTTTCTGCTCTGCTGAGACCTCTCTGCAATCCATTTGGATTCCAGTCCGTCTGGCTTCCCTCTCATTTCTCCCAAGCTTCCCCAGCTCACTTTCCTTCCACCGCCGACCTCATCTGGGTTAAAGCCCACTAGCCTCGTCCTGGCCCTCAGCATTGGCAGTGTGAAAACGAATCAACTGCGCCTCCATCCTTGGGGATGTTCACTGTGGGTGACGGCAACAGCAGGGAGAGCGTGACCCCTAATAACAGAAACCTGTACTCTGTGAATCAGGGCCCGTCCAGTGTGGGTGACGGGAACAGCAGGGAGGGCGTGACCCCTACTATGTGAGTCAGGACCTGTGATTTCCATACGACTGGCATACTGACAGGTGCAGAGGAAAAGGTCTGGGAAGGCCTCCTATCAGATCCTTCTTGTCTGTTAGTTCATGTTTTGGTGATAGATTTTTGCTATAGGACGTGTGTGCTCACCAGAGAGGCAAAAAGTGAGAAAGCACCTCCCCGGGTGATGGCCACGCCGCAAGCTCTTCTGCATTCTCTTCTTGGGATTTTGGGCACGCGCACATACATGACCAGCGTGAGTTCCAGCCGCGGGACTGGGACTCCAAACACAGCCGACTACGTGGGAGTCCAGTGATGTAGCCATTATGCCATCTGGTGGTCCCTGTTTGTTCATTTTTAAAAGATTCTTTTATCGGTATAAAATTCTGGATTGACAGATCCAGAATTTTTTTCTTTTAGTACTTTAGAGAAGTTGCTTTTGTGTGCGTTTCTGGTGAGAAGTTTGAGGCAATTCTTTTTTCCTGTTCTTCTCTCTAATTGTTTTTCCCTGCCTGAATTTTTTTTTGGAGAGGTTTTTGCTATAGGCTGCGTGCACTCGCCAGACAGAAGACAGACAGAGAGAGACATAGAGACAGAAAGCGAGAAATCACCCCCCAGGGGGGATGGTCACGCCGCAATCCCTTCTCCTCCATTCTCCTCTCGGGATGTTGGGCACGCACGCACACGCGCCCGGTGTGAGTTTTAAGCCACCGGGTCCGGGACACGAACCGTGGTCGACTACGTGGGAGTCCAGCGACATAGCCATTACGCTAACTGCTGGTTCCTGCAGCCCCTTCTCCATCTCTTCATCCTGTTGGAACTTTGGGCACGCACACACATGTACCTGGCTTGAAAAACATGCCACCGGGGTAGGATTTGAACTGCTGTTCGCTATGTGGGATCTGACTCCTTTAACTGTGGGGGTGAAGGTCTGGCCCTCTACTTATTTATTTCTAAGTGTATTGATTCCTCGCTGTATCCAGTCTATTGATAAACTCATAGAAGGGCTTTAAATTCTGACAAACATTAGCACACAGTTTTGTCATTCTTTGGCTCTTTTAATTTGCCAGAGGGTGCATGTGCTCACTGGAGAGAGATGGGGTGAGGTGGAGGGTAGGAGTGAGGAAGCAGTCCCCGTGGGGGTGGTCACACTGCAGTCCCCCATCCTCTCTTTCCCCCACCTTTCAGGATATGAGGAATATAGCACACACACCTGGTATATTTTTTAAGCCACAGGCATTGGGACTAGAACTCCACAGTCTGCCATGTGGGATCCAGGTGACTTAACCACCACGCTGCTGGCTGGCCCAGCTCTTTTTTTTTTTTTTTTTGATAATGTACATCTTTCTGTCGAAATTTTCCGTCTGTTCATAGAGGTCCACTTTTCCAGTAGATCTTTTCATATACCGATCATAGATACTGAAAGATCCTACCTGATGCTTCTGCTGTCTGGGTTATTTCTGGGTCTGGTTTTGTTTATGTTCTCTCTTGACAGAGGTCATTTTCTTGCCTTTTTGGTGTATCTTGTAATTTTTACTGAACGCTGGACATTGCATCTAGCCATAGAGTGGAGATTACGATAGGGAACATGTATGCCACAGATGCATCTTACTCTGTGCCGTAGTTAGTGTAGTGGGTTGAACCACTGTGGTCAGTACGCCGCTGGAGCTGGGTCTCCGTATTCCGCGGTTACTCGGTTACTCGTAATGCCCCACAGGCGTCCAGAGTCTTCCATGGCTCATGATCTCTTAGCCTGGTGTGGAGCCTGGCCTGCTCGGGGCTGTTCTCAGTGTTCCCCACATACCTGTAAAGCAAGGGGTCTCTCTCGATGCTCCTGCTCCTCTTTGGAGTAAACTGCTGTTATTTATTGGGATGGGAGTAGTGGCGGTGGGTCTTGCAGTCCTGTTGCAGCATCTCTCTTAGGCAGGTCCTGTGTTCGTAAGTCTTGGAGCTTTTCTTGGTGTTCCTTCCCTCCCTGGCATGTAGCTAACCTCTGCTTTAAGCCTGAGAGCTTTGGAGGGCGAGTTTTCCGATGTGCGTGGGCATTAGCGTGCTCTGCCAGTCTGGATCAGTGCAGGACCCTGTGCCGAGCGTGCATCTGTCACCCTCTGTTTGGCAAGCCAGGTTTGGGCGTACCTCTCCACCCTTGTCCTCACGTAATAAGCCTTTGTGGACGTGCCAGGAGGGTCTGCCCTGTGGGAGTGGGCAGTCGTGTGCCCTTGCACCACCGAGGATCATGCTCTTCAGTCTCAAGACCTGTCCCTGCTTCGCCTTCTGAGCACCTGGTGCAGGTTTGTTGTGAGTGCGTGCGGAGCTCGCGTCTGGGCTCCCCATCATACCGACCTGTCTGACTAGTCCCTGCTCAGTCTTTAAAAGTTAAAAAAAAAAAAAAGAGCTGTTTTTTGTTTTCTTCTTTACCTTTGTTGTGGCCGCCTCCTCCTTCCAGGTTCTACCAAAGGGAGCAGCTCGTGCCTCGTCTTTGGTGGGCTTGTCGCTCACGGAAGGCAGCTCATCTCACTGCTCTGGGCCCTGCTGATGGGCTCGAAAATCTGTGCTTTTCTAGGCCAGCTGGCCCTTCGCTTGTTCGCTGCTGTCTGTGAACTGCTGCAGAGCTTTTTAGTTCTCCCTCTTTACTTACTCTGTTGTATTGTTATAGTTGTCTAATAAATGTGTCTAAATTTTTTTAGTCATAGACAGTCTGTGTGTTTTTTGTTGGAATTGTGGTTCCAGTAGTTTTTATTCTTGTAGTTTTGCTTACCTTTTTGTGCACTGGGCCTTCCTAAGGTTTTTAACTTGAGACTTCTTGTCTCAGAAAGTCACACGTGGTTTTGTTTTGTTAGTTGGATTGTTTTCACATCTAACTAGTGATTCTTTAATCAGAAGAATCACTTTACTCACAAATCTCAGAAAAATGCACACATACACTTTTCTACCGAAGTCCTTTTTCTTTTCTGCCTTCTACCCACTAACGATATGTGTATATTGATACAGTCTTTCTCTAGAGATCTTTTTCTGAATCTTTTTTATTTCATGCCTTCTTTCCACCAATGAGTTTTATATGTACGTGTGTGTGCAGGTGTGTGTGCGTGTGTGCGCACGTGTGTGTGCATGTGTACTTGTACATGAGCAGTTGAAGCCCTCGATGACGGCGCGCTCTCTGCGTGTCGGCCCTGTGGGAGACACTTCCGAGCATTATTGCATTTAAGTTGGGCTCATGAATCTCAGAGGCTGTTCTGTCGACTACGGAGAATCCCAGACACCGGGCATTTTAGGGGATTATCAGCCCGGGAAGTCTGAGCTCAGCACTTCTCTTACACTTCCTTTCTTTAAGTCAGGCAGGAAGATAACTTTGTTGTTTTTCAAAAACATTTATTTTGCAAATATTTTGGAAGTCTAAGAATACAGATGCTCCCTGTGTCCCCTCCGAGTGTCCTCTTACTCCAGCGTCTCACGTAAGGGGAACGTCCACACGCTGACATGAAACCTGACGCAGCTCCGCAGACGCAGGCACGGGCTTCCTGGTTCACTCTGACTCTCCCACCTGTCCTTCTCTGTCCCAGCCTGCTTGGGACTCTTTTTTGTAAGAGAGATTTTTGCTATAGGGCATGTGTGCTCACCAGAGACCAGAGGGGCAGAAAGCAAGAAAGCACCCCTCATGGGGGATGGCCATGCCGCAGTCCCTTCTCCTGAGATCTTGGGCACGCGTGCACATGTGCCCGGCGTGAGTTTTAAGTAGCAGAGTCTGGGACTTGAACCGTGGTTGACTACATGGGAGTCCAGCGATGTCACCGTTAGCCATCTGCTGGTCCCGACTCCTAGAAGCGTCCTCTGCCCCCTTTTCCTTAGTGCTGGGTGACTGCAGGGGCTGCCATTGGAAGTGAGGCACCTTGGTATGTCAGAACTTTGTCCTGGCCTGGCTTGTAACCCGTTTTAGTTTTAAAAGAAATTTGCTGAAGTGTTTTTTGTATGTACAAGGAGGAGCACACTGTGTCCGATAGCTAGCTGCGTGTGGACATCCGGGAGATCCCAAGCGAGATGGACCTCCCAGCCCCGCCGTCCAGATACCTGCCTCGCTGGGACGCGGCCTCGCCCCTTTCGGCCACTGGGTGTGATCTTGGGGACTGAGTCGTGGGAACGCATGGAGACTGGCTGCATCTGCGTTTTTCGCGTTGTTGTGTTTCTGATGGAGTCTTGTGCTTTCCTCTACCCAGAGCACGCAGAACTCTCTTCCGCTGAGCGAATGCTCCACATTTGTGTTGATGCACGCTGTTACACTTGCCTTCATTCCGGGGCAGTGACTTCGTGCAGCTTTTAAAGGAGCAAAACAGCAACCTCCTTCACTTTTATTTTAGCGTTGGTTAGGCATCAGGCATGTTTTGTATCTAAGTTGCGAGGCTAAAATTCATTTACATATATTGCTGGATGTGAAATTTGAAAAGGGGAGCATTTTTGTGAAATGCTTGTGTGGAAAAAAAATCATTCCGAGTCAAAAAGAGCAGTGGTGCAGCAGCGAAAGGTGAAGCTCTGTGGGGCAGTCCCCCAGGGAAGGTCCCTGGTTCAAGTCCAGAGACCTCCCAGAGTGTGCTGGCCATGCCTGGATGGGCCTGAGGACGGCTGGAGGAGGTGGTCTGTGTGATCGAGACCCTGCTGGGGGCCTCTCTCACTCATGGAGGGAATAAAACTTTTCAGAAGATGAAGATTCCTCTTCACGAAGAGAGATTGACAGCAGCCTCTGTTACTGCATTACTGAGAATGCATCGGTGCTAAAGCAGGTTTTTTTTTCTTGCTACACAAAATCTGTTCAAGAATAATTGCGTGGGGCTCAGAGGGAGGGGCGTGTGAAGAGCAAGTGACTGAGTTCACACGCAGCCCCCAGACCAGCGCCCACACGGGGAGCCCCAGCCTGGCGCGCGCACATGCTCAGCCGCACCCTCTCCGCAGGACATCGTGCCGGTGGACGCCTCCTACGAGGTGAAGGAGCTGTACGTGCCCGAAAACAAGCTGCACTTGGCAAAAACGGACGCAGAGACGTTGCCAGCACTGAACATTAGCAAGGTAAGTTCTTTGTCACTTTTCAGAACAGGTGCTGATGCAGGTGTCCGTGTAGTCGTTGGTTAAATTGGTGGCTAGAACGTAAGGCCCGGGCGGGGGCAGCGGGAGAGGTGTTGTGCACGTCAGTTCCCGGGGACGGGGAGGGGAAAGGCCTCTGTCACTGCCAAGGGTCTGTGTGTTGTAAGTATCTTCAGGCTTCTTTTGGTTTAAGTCAGAAGTCACCTAAGTGCAGTTTGCAGAATGCACTGTGTGCGTTTTCTGAGAACCTGCTAGAAATACAAGTTCTGGGTGCTGGCAGGTGGTGTTGGGGTTCAGGTGGCTGGATCTCACGTGGCCAACTGCGTGGTTCGAGATCCAGACCCAGTGGCTTGAAAATCACAGAGTGCGTGTGTGTGCCCACAGTCCTGAGAGGAGACTGGAAGAGAAGGGATTGTGGCATGGCCGTCTCCCCTGAGGGATGACTTCTCACTTTCCTTCTCTCGGTCTCTCTCTGGCAAAAACACACACTCAGTAACAAAAACTTAAAAAAGCATATATTGAGCCGTCGGAAAAGTCATGACACATTTTTGCATAGGAAAACACGGCATGACTTTTCCGACGATCCGATACAGGTTCTCGGGCCTCGTGACTAATTGACTAAATCAAACTCGGGCTGAGACAAGCCTTCAGGGGTATTGTGCCCGTTACGGTTTGGAAACTACTCATTTAGGGGAGACTGTCCACACAGAAATGTTTAAGGTCTGATTACGGATCTTGGAGGCCTAATGCTAAAGTTTATTAGGGGAAGTGCATTTTTCCTAATGGCCTTACCCCTTGTGAGGTTCATATTCTGTATTGTTCTCAAAGTGTGTGTTTCTGTTGCTAATTTCGGCTTCTGAAGGCTGTCGCTCCTTTTGTTCGTGAATGCGTGAAGCAGAAACCTTTGCTTTCCGACTCACTAGGTGGACATGCAGTGGGTGCAGGTGCTGGCAGAAGGCTGGGCCACCCCGCTCAACGGCTTTATGAGAGAGAGAGAGTACCTGCAGTGCCTTCATTTCGACTGTCTTCTGGACGGTGAGACCTTCCACCTTGAAATTTGTATTAGGATGGAGCAGAAGTCGCATAGTTGTGGGGATTTGTCACTGTTTATGAAGTAGTGACAGCGTTTTCCAGAGCTGGTTCTAAGGCTATGCTGCGTCAGTACTGGACACTTTCAGCGAGCCCCGAGATCCTACCTAAGGCTTCCTTTTCCCGATCGCGATGTCTTGCAGAGGGAAGGAGAAACGTGGGGCTCAGGGCAGAAAATGGGCTCCAGGAGCAAGCAGCCCCCCACGTCACGTCCGCCCGCCCCCCGTGGAAGGGTTCAGCCTGTATGGGGCTCGCACACCCCGAATGGTGCTACACAGAAGCCCACGCTTGAGCTTCTAGCAAGGAGCCGTGTTCGGGCATCCTGAGGCACGTGGCTAAAGCGTGGCTCGTTGTTGGTGAAAACATGGAGAAAGGATGGCTGAGGACGCCGATGGGGCAGTGTCACCACCCAGCTTCCTGTGCTGTGTTGTGTACTGTCGTGTGATTCACTGCATTAAAGAAAGTCTTTTTATTATTTATTTATAACTTTTTTTTCCAAAGGGCAAGTGTGCTTGCCAGAGAGAAACAGTGAGAAGGAAAGTGAGAAGTCACGTCCCAGCAGATGGCCGCACCGCCGTCATCTCTCCTTCCTCCCCCTCGCGGGCATGCACATGTACTAGTGTGATTTTCAAGCCTCCAGATCACTAAAAGCCAAATAGGGGCCAGCAGGTGGTGTAGAGGTTAAGGCAAGGGACTCGCACATGGCTGACCACAGTTTGAGTCCTGGACCTGGTGCTTGAAAAAAGTCACAGTGGGTGCATGTGTGTGTATGCCCAAAGAGTCCCGAGTGGAGACTGGAGAAGGGATTGTGGCATGGCTGTCCCCTCAGGGCGATTTCTCACTTTGCCTTCCTCTGTCTCTTACCCTTGAGTACACATGCTCTGTGGTAAAAACAAACAAACAAATGGCCAAGCAGTTGTTCGGATCCCATTGCCTTCTTACCCAGCTGTGGCACGCCGTGGTTGCCATCGAAGCGTGTCCTTCCCACTGTATAAATGATCCGGACAGGGTTGGCGAGTACGTTGTGTTTTCTAGCTCGCACAGAGAGCAGGAAGAGACTTACACAGCTCTAAGGGTTGGGCCCTGAGGCCGTCACGTGGTCGCGCTGACAACACGTTTGGGCGTAAACGGAGTCACCCATTTTACCGCCTTTGTTTCTTGGCCAGAGATGGCGGGCGTCCGTTTATTCTGTGCACCACGAACAAACAAAACACTTTCTGGGGGTCTTTGTCTTCCCGTCTCAAGGATACCTGGTCACTTTACCACTGAAAAATGTTTATGCTGACCTGTTACCAGGAAAGACTCAAATTTCTCGGAACAGGTACCGGGACGCGGTGCGCGTGTTGGGGGACTTAGTATGTTTTAGGCAGAATTAAGCTCAACCCGCCGATTCTTTCTTAGTGAACAGTTTTCTTATTTTCTTGTTTTTATTTTCCAGAGAGTGTGTGTGCTCGCTGGAGAGAGAGAAAGTGAGAAAACACCCCATGGGGCACAATCACCCCGCAGGCCCGTCTCCTCCATTCCTCCTTTCTTCTGGGACTTGGGCGACATGCACACATGGTGTGTTTTTCGAGCTCCTGGTCTGGGCCTTGAACCACAGTCGGCCATGTGCGATCCAGCTGCCTTAACCAGCACACCGCTGCCTGAGCAGTTTCTTTGACATTTGTGATTCTGTACGAGTCCCCCACCCCAAAGGGGCCAGGATGGACGGTGCAAGCGTTGCTGTACACAGTCGTGGCTCCCTTGGCTTGCTGGGTTTTCTGCACCCAGACCTCTGGGTGGCCGCTGCTTTTCCCGAACTGTCCCTTTCCCCATCTCCGAGCCGGGGCCCACCTGTGCTGTCACTGTGTAAGGCTCGCGTGACTGGAGTGTGTCCACCCAGGTGGACGGTGGGCGGACCTGCGGCCCGTGGTGAGCCCAGCCGGGCGTCTGATGTCCTGTTGTCCTGCAGGGGGCGTCATCAATCTGTCGGTGCCGATAGTCCTGCCAGCCACGCAGGAGGACAAGGAGCGGCTGGACGGCTGCACGGCATTCGCGCTGGTGTACGAGGGCCGCCGTGTGGCCATTCTCCGCAACCCGGAGTTCTTCGAGCACAGGAAGGAGGAGCGCTGTGCCAGACAGTGGGGGACCACGTGCAAGAGCCACCCCTACATCAAGGTCCTGCCTCCCTCCCCTGCCTGCCGGGGGTGGCGGGGTGCTGCCATGTCCTGGCTGCTCTGCGGGGCTGCCTGTGCTGTGCAGAGTGGGGCTGGGGTGAGGCGCAGAGGCTCGTCATGTGGTTTGTTCACCAGATGTCTGTCACAGTCCTGCCAGGTGCCCCGCACGGCACTCGGTGTGTGCCTGCAAGTCCAAGACCGGGCCACGACCGGCTGGGTGCTCTGTCTTAGCGGCTGCGAGCTGGTGGGGCACCCACACCAGGCCCTTTAACCTAGTCGAACACGCGCTTCTGCTGCAAGGGCAGTGAAAGACCCAGAGTCCGTGTGTGTGTGTGTAAAGTGATCGCGGTGGTTAAGCCCCTGTCGGGTGCCGGGAGTCCCCACAGACGCTTGGCCCCCATCGCTAGGTGTGCTGTTGATGTCGACCTGAACCAGGTGGGTAGAGGGCAGCCCGAGCCCCCTGGAAGGGCCCAGTCCCAGAGGGAGTGTGACCTCTGCGCCGTCAGGGAAGATGAGGGGCTTTGAGAACTCAGGGCACTGAGGGGACTGCGAGGCTTGAGTGTGCGTCACTGAGCAATCGTGGGTTGTCCAGAAGTTTGGGCTGGAGAGCGGGGATGGGCCCCCACCCTCGCAGGCCCTCCTGCCAACCCCGACCCCGGGAAGGAAAGGCTGGCTTCGCTCCTTGCAGTCGTGACCGTTCACCTCGGTTTTGTTGCCTTTTGTGTCAGTTGTCGTCCCACTATTCCACAGTGCCCAGTAATATTTCGCCATCATCCTCAGGGTCTTAGAGGAAGTTCAAAGTGTCCTCGAGTCGTGTCGCATCTGTGGCCCTGCTCGGTCGGCCAGCCCGCCCAGCAGGTGTCCTGGTGACCGGGATGAGAGCGCACGGCGCAGCTCTGTGTGGCGTGTGGAGAAACGGGCTGCTTACTTAGGTCGTGCTTTCTGTTTGCGGCAGATGGTTCTGGAACAAGGAGACTGGCTGATCGGCGGGGACCTCCAAGTCCTGGACCGGATCTATTGGAAGGATGGTCTTGACCAGTACCGCCTCACCCCCACGGAGCTCAAGCAGAAGTTCAAAGACATGAATGCTGGTAAGGGGCCTGCATCTCCGAGGGGCTCCTCATCTATAAAACGCTCCGGAGGGTTTTTCCCAGAGCCGATGCACAGAGAGGGAGGCCGTGGAGCGGGCTGTGTGAGGGGAGGTGCCTCGGCTCGCGTCAGGCCGTGTGGCCGAGACTTGAGCGAATGTTGCTTGGTCCTTGTGCAAGGTGGACACTCACGACAAGCTGACTTTTTGTTTATTGTGAAACTCAAAGCTTGAAGGTGCATAGAACCGAAGAGCAGAGGTTCGGAATAATTCACACAAACACGCTTCATCTCAGAATGTCTTATTGCGTGGAACATCTCACAACAAACCGTGGAACACAGCTGTGTCCCGCGGCTCCTTTGGAAACACGTGCTGAGCGTCTTTATGGCAGGGGCATCGAGCTGAGGATTCTGACCCGCGTGTGACAGTGTGTGCGGGGCAGGATCGGCGACGCTAAGCAGAAACGAAAGCTGTAGTTGAAGAGTGGGGTCCCAGTGGCGTGAGGACAAGTGTGGGTCCGGGTGCACTGGGGCAGGAACACGGGGCACATGCTCTATCCTTACACCCTTGGATGGTCCCCAAGCCCTCCGGGCCAGCTCCGCCCATGGGGGGTGGACGACTGCTCACTTGGGAGCCTCGTCCCCTCCCCACACGCTCACAGACTGGAGGTGCTGTGGCGGGAAACGGCGTGCCCTGGGCTTGGGGAGACTTCAGGATCTGAAGACGGGTCTGCAGTCATACTCCGACCCCTACCACTGCAGAGGGTGGGCCCATGTGGGGGGCTGCTCTTTTCCCGGGTGGAAACCAGGAGGCCGAGAGGGCAGGGGCACATGTGTGCCTTCTGGGAACTAGCTGGCCCCAGAGCCCCACAGAGCGGTCCTAGCACCCGGGGAGGAGCAGCCCTTTCCTTAGTGGGGTCAAGGTCCTGTGAGCTCCAGCCCCGGGATTTGTCCAGAGCATCATGCGTGGACTTCCTGCCTCCCCTCTTGGAGTTCGGCTGTGTCCTGGGAGTTGTCACTGTCCTCTCTAAGGCACAGGACTATTGGTGAGGGTGGCAGTGGTCCCTAATTCATGACAGGTTTTGTTTTTTATTTTATTTATTTATTTTTTTGAGAGGTTTTTGCTATAGGGCAGGTGTACTCACCAGAGAGGCCGGGGGATGGCCACAGCACAGTCCCTTCTCCTCCATTTTCCTCTTACTCCTGGCATGAGTTTAAGCCACCAGGTCCAGGACTCGAACCACAGTCAACTCCATGGGATCCAGCGACATAGCCATTATACCAACTGCTGGCCCCCCATCTGTCAGGATGATTTTAAATACTGAAACGAGGGCTGGTCCTGCAGCCTGGTGGGAAATGGCTGGGTCCCGCCTGGCTGACCGAGGTGTGCACCCTGGCCCCTCAGCTTGAGAAACACGCCGGGCATGTGCGCATACCAGAACCCGTACAGGGCGGGGCATTGGTGGAGGGTCGCGCTGTGACCACACCTCGGGGGTACACCCTCTGGCAGTGAGAAAGAAAGGAGATGAGCAGCCTCAGAGTGCTCTGTGAGAGAGGGACACCTGTGCACTCCGAGCTGCCGCGGCTGCTGGCGTGGAGTGCCACTGTAACCCGGGAGGGACAGGCCTGGTGGGGCCCTGCTCCTCGGTGCTGCCCCTCCTCCTCCTGACAGCCCCGCAGGGTCGGGTGCAGGACCAGGACCATCCCTGCTCCAGAATTAGCTCTTCTGGTCTGATGCTGGTGTTTGTCCTGAGCTGCTCAGACGCCCGCTGAGCTCCGCGGGATGCTCTCCCGGGGGGTAGCTCCTTCTCTCCAGTCTTCCCAACGTGTCAGGCCCTCTCACAGTGGGGCGAGGGGAGAGTGGTGTGATGGCACCCCGTTCTCCCAGTGTGTGATTATGGGCAGTGTTACCTCAGTCCTGGACGCTGTCATGTGCAGGAGAGGAGCTCTGGGGGAAAGATTGTCCTTCCTGGCAAGAAACTGGCTTATATCCAAAATAATCTCTTCCCACCCTTCTTGCTTTCTGCTTTGGATACCGATGTGTGAGGACGCCATGTTTGCAGCTCTTGCAGCCGTTTTGTATCCAAGAGGATCCCAGATACGCTAGCCTGTGTCCCTGCTTGAGTTTCGGATCAGACCCTCTGAGTATCTATTGTCAGATTTCCTAATCAAAGAGATAATACATGTTTAGAAGATGTTTTTATTTTTTAGTTTTTATTACACACATGTAAGCTCATGAGAGAGACAGAGAGAAAGAGAGAGAATGAGACTGAGAAATAACCCCTTATGGGGGATGGCCACATCACAATCTTGTGTCCTCCATGTTCCTCTTGAGATTCGGGCATGCACATACATGCATGTGGCATGTTTTTCAAGCTGCCGCATCTGTGGTGTGAACCAAGCAATTGGCATCGGCCACCTTCACCACCCACCGCCAGTTGGCCCCCAGGCGATTTTTAATCTCACAGAGACAGAGACACAGAGGAGAAGGCTCTTCTCCCCCTCCCCTCCCCAGGGGGAGCAGTCACTGCAGTCCTTTCTTCTCATTCTCCATCTCGTGGGGGTTTTGGACACTCGGGCACATGCGCCTGGCAAGGTTTTCCAGCTGCCGGGGTTGGGACTGGAGCTGCAGCTCGTCGTGTGGGCTCCGACTCCCTTAGGCTGCAGCCCAGCCCCAGATGATTTACCCACTTCTGGGGGGGTCCTCTGTTAGCAGCGGCAGCGGCAGGTAGGTTACTACGGTAGTCTTCCCTTCCCGTGGTCGGAAACATGCTTCGGGAAGGCCTGCAGGGACCGCCACCTCTCACTTCTGCCAGGATTTGAGTTCACGTCGGGAACTGATGTGCAGTGTTGCCGACGCTGTCGAGGGGCTTATTGGGAGCCAGGGGAGTTACCGGAGGGACGGAATAGTCCTTGAGGTTGTGGTTCTACTCTTTGCAAGCGAACATCTCAAGTCCTTTAGAGAATTTGGTACATAGTAAGTGATTGTAACTGTTTCAAGTAGCCAAGGGCCACCTAGCCCTCCCTAAAACAGCAGAGGTTTCTGGAACTGTCACTTTCTTTGTTTTTCCACTCGAGGTGAAGGCAGATAACCAATGGTTTGCCTTCTAGTTCTCGTTCCGTCTGTAAGAAGCCAGTGGTGTCACCTGCTGAGTGGAGGGAGGGAACACAAGTGTCCTATTTGTCTATTTTACCCGGCTTCCTTTCTGACCGCCTCCTCTCCCCCCCACCCTAGGGGGAGCGCCCTGATTACCCACGGGGCCGTGGCCTGTGCACAGCCTTGATGTCATCGGTGTGGCTCTTCCTAAGCCGTTCTAGCTACGGACCGAGAAGGCTTTAATCCCCGTCAGTGATTACAGGGCGATAAGTTCCAGATGGCAGATTGAGTTGGCCGCGACAGACCGATATCCCGGAGAGGGAGGAGGGGTTCCCTGGAGCCAAGTCGGACCTGTTAGCATTTATCATACGCAGAGGACAGGTGCCCCGCTGACCACAGAGGGAAAAGCTGCCATCCTTTCTTTGAAACAAGTGTGTGGCAGTGTGGTGTCGACTCAGTCTGGGAAGCTTTGTCGAGTTCTTGAATTGCAAAAACTGTGTGTTAAATGCGTGGAGATGCGGAGGGAGGTTTGAGGCAGAGCCGGATGGTGCGTGAGGAGGCCTGGGGAGGCAGGAGCAGCGTGTCTGTGGCCTCAGCCACCCTCCTGTCAAGGATGGCCTGAGCTCGCTGTGGGCTGGCTGGGGGCAGCAGTCAGGCCCCACAGGCCTGGCTGGTGGCAGGGGCCTCTCAGTTTAAGCAGAGAGAGTGCCGAGGCAGGGGGGCCTGGCAGTGCGGAGGCATCCGGGAACAGCCACAGCAGGCGGTGTGACAGTCCTGAAGGGGCCTGCAGGGGACAGTGTTCTGGAACAGCAGTTGGTGTGGCAGTTTAGGTGCTGGACTCCCACATGGCTGACTGCGGTTCAAATCCTGGACCCGACAGCTTGAAAATCACGCTGGGTGCATGTGTGCCCAGAATCCCAGGAGAATGGAGGAGAAGGGATTGCAGCATGGCCATCCCCTCAAGGGGTGATGTCTCCCTTTCCCTCTCACTGTCTCTGTGGCAACCTCTCCCCCCCACCTCCCCCAGAAGGACGAAGAAGGAAGAGGTGGGGCCACGCCTGAATCCGGCCTGTGTCGTGACAGTAGTCGTGGGGGTGGGGAACTGAGGGGCCGGGAGGAGAGAGCAGTCTGGCCCGAATGTCGGCGTCCCTAACAGACCTGGGAGGTCAGGCCCGAGCACGCCGAGGGGCCGTCTGGAGCGCCCGGTAGTCGGGTCCGGCTGAGGGGTGTTTCTGAACGAGATGTAGAGAAGGAATTTTGCAGGGCCCCACAGCGAGCCTCGGCTCTCTGAGAGGACCCCAAGATGCCAGCAGTGGGTGGTCAGACCTCTGTGGTCTGGTGGAGCAGGGCTTGCCAGGCACGTTTGACTGCAGCTGAGTAAAAAGGATGCCCAGGAGAGGCCAGGAGGCTGCACAGAGGACCCAGGCCTGGCACGTGGTGCGTTCGTGTCCCCCCACGCCGTCTTCAGTGGTTTTCGGTTTTTAACTCTGGAAGCAGGAGGGAGGCATGGCAGAGGCGTTTCGGGAGACACATGTTGGCAGAAGGGGAAGATTTCATTCCGGAAGCCGGCGACCTGGGGAAAACGGCAGACAAGTGTCCCCAGACCATCTCCCAAGTGACAAGGGAAGAGAACTTGGGAAAGCGGTGAGGACGTGTTCGTGCTGCCGTGTTCCAGCCGATCGCCTCCGCCGGCGTGCCAGGCCTCCCCCTCCATCCTGTTATCGCCGACTCGTGTTAGTCAGGCGCGTGACTCCGGTGAACGGGGAGGCTCGGAAGGTTCCTCTTGGGAGGCGAAGGAGTCAGGCCGGCCTTCCTCAGGGCGTTTGCCCACGGGCGCCGACGGGGTGCAGGGCGGGCTCTCGAGTCCCTGCGCTCCTTACGCACTGCCCGCCCCAGCCAGCACCAGAGGAGCAGGTGGTGCTCAGATGGGGTCCCTGAGCTCGATAGGGAGTGGGGTTCTGTGGACGGACGTCCACACGTCTGTAGTCAGGAGTCGTTCATCTTTTCAGACTGTCCCTGATAGAGGAAAGTGACACTGCTTCTGGACCCTGGAGAGGGATTTGAGAGCCCCACTTGGTGGTCAAGGCATCAGAATGTTTTGCATCTTGTAGGTTCATGTGTAAGGAAAACTCGAATTGAGAAGGACAGGAAATGTATCCTTCCCCACCTCAAACCGGAATAGCTTAAAAGTTATTCATCTCCATGAGAGCGAGCGCGTGTGTGCACGTGGGCCACCTCACCCGGCTTTTATACCCTGCCTCCAGCCTCCAGCTGACCAGGATGTGGGCAGGGTTAGCTGGCAGCGTTTCAGGCCACCGAGACTTGAGCCCGAGGTTGGTCACGCGGCTGTTAGTTCTGAAGTTCAGGTCGCCACCACGCCAGGCCCGGAGCAGAGCGGCGTTGGTGCTGTGAGTTGGATCCATCCCCCGCGCCTTTGCCTGGTGTCACATCCTGCTCTGGGAAGAGCCAGCCTGTCCACGCAAGGAGGTCACTCAGGAACCTCCGTGAACGGGACGCCGTAGATCTTGGGCATTACAGGGCATGGAGCAGAATCAAGCCCCGGCCCAGTGGCGGGCTGCAGTCTTGGTCCTGGGCCTCTGTCATGACGACAGGGACGGTCAGAACCGAGACTTGGTGGAGAGGACATACTTCCTGTGCAGCTTAGAAGTTACCAGGGGAGGCGGTGGTTCTTCCCCCGAGCCCAGCTTCGATCCCCTCGCATGGGCGGGCCGAGTGCTGAGGGCGCAGCGTGCACAGCCTCTGAGTGTGTGGTGGCCCAGTCCCAGGAGATCACTTTGAATCCCAAAGCATCGTGCCGTCCGAGAAGGGTCCCCTGTAGCAGACACCACGGAGGGCTGGAGCCAGGGCCCTAGGGCAGGTGCGGGTCGGCCCGCTGCGTTACCCCCAGAGTCCATCGTCCGAGCGGGCGGGGGAAGGGTGCTGTCACTGCCGGCTGTCCTCCAAAACCCAGACCAGTCAGACAGCTCTAGTTGTGCAAAGAAGATGGTATAAATGAGCATATTTTGGTAGTAGCTAAATTTTTGGAACGACTAATGTCTCTCTTTCAGGTTCTCCTTTAATAAACAGCATTTTATGGGGGATTGATCTGGTGGGCAGCTGAGGCACAGACCAAGACTCGATGTCGGTGAGGGGCCTCTAGAAGCATAGCAAAGTATGTTTATTTTGGTGCAAAGAAATGTTGAGAGTTATGTGTAATTTTTCACGATACACATCTTCCACGCCTTTCTAGAAGCCCCTGTGTACGAGCCCGTGGCCCATTTGCTAGGCCCGGAAGTCCGAGGACTGCCCTCTGCGTGGCTGCATTATAACCTGCTGTGAGCTGGACAGCCGCGGACATTCGGGACTGCGTGTCGGCGCTGGGCGCTCAGGGCTGGTGCCCCGGGACCGCAGCCAGAGCACCGTGTGGCGGTCATGGCTCCCGACTGCATCTACGGGTGTGCTTCGTCCTGGGCACGCAGCTCGGAGAACGCTGCTCCTCGGGACGCGGCCTGGGGCACCGCTCTCACCTGGGCCCTCTCTTGCAGACGCGGTCTTCGCGTTCCAGCTGCGCAACCCCGTGCACAACGGCCACGCCCTGCTCATGCAGGACACCCACAGGCAGCTCCTGGGGCGGGGCTACCGGCGCCCCGTCCTCCTGCTGCACCCGCTCGGCGGCTGGACCAAGGACGACGATGTCCCTCTGATGTGGCGCATGAAGCAGCATGCCGCGGTGCTGGAGGACGGCGTCCTGAACCCCGAGACGACCGTGGTGGCCATCTTCCCGTCCCCCATGATGTACGCCGGGCCCACCGAGGTAGGCTGCCCACCGGACCTGGGCGCTCCGCCCTGGAGGCTTGTCCCTCACGTGGAGTCCTCCCTGCTGTGTCAGGCATGTCCCTAGTGGTGGCCCGAGAGGCAGCCTTTGTGGCAAAGGAAGACAGGGAGAGGGCGCTCTCGCACTTACGGGGTTGTGGGGGAGCAGCAGGGCCGGTGAGGTCAGAGAGGGGACGGGGCTCTCCTGTCACTGCTGTCCTGGTAACGGGCGTGGTCCTGCAATGCTGCAGTTGTCCCTCTAGCAGGTCCTGGTCTCTCTGGGGACTGATTTGGTCTTATTTTGGCTTTTGAATTTGGGGAGGGCTAAAGGAATTTCAGTGGGAGGGAAATCGTGGTATCTTAAAAGCCCAGAGATATTTCTTTGTTTTTCTTTTCTTTTTTTAAGAGAGATTTTTGCTATTGGGTGCGTGCACTCACTGGGGAGGCAGAGACAAAGAGAAAGTGAGAAATCACCCCTTGGGGGGATGACCCTTTTCCTCTCAGGATTTTGGGCATGTACACACACATGCCTGGTGTAAGCTTTAAGCCATCGGCTCCGGGACTCGAACTGTGGCCAGCCATATGGGAGTTGTGCCACCTGCTGGCCCTCCAGAGACATTTCTTAACCTGTCCTTTTATGAAAGACTGGAGCTTGATAGAGTCAGGTATTGGAGGAAGGGCAGGTTCTGGATTTCTACTCAGTGGTCGAAAGACTCTTGAGATTTTTTTATATTCAGAATAGAGAAGAGGACTTAATTTGGTTTAGCATCAAGGCAGAGGAGATTTAAAAAAGAATACTTGTGGGACAATGAAAAGAGTCAGTGAATGGCCTCCAAAGCAGTGGGTGGGGATTCCTAGCCACTTGCTGAGTTTTCAAGATAAGATTGGAATGTGCACCATTACTGCATTTTTTCTTATCCTTGCCTTACAGGGAGATGTTTTCACTTACACTTATCTGATAGGCAACCTGTGTTTAAAACTGTAAATAATTTAGTTGTATACTCAGCCTTCTCCCAAGGATTGTAAAGGGGGTCCTCTGCACTTGGCAGTGCTTCGAAATCAAGGCTAAGCATTTTTATTGGCGCCTGATTGTGGGGTTTGTACTCTGCTACCTTGTTATCCAAGACAAATAAGTAACTGTGCACTGAGGGGTAAGAGGCAGCTCTCCTCTCGGACCCAGCCTGGTGCCCCGAAGTCCACGTCGGCCCCGCGCCAAATTTCCGTCCTCCTGCTGGAGTGATGTGTCCGTGGGAATCGGGCCGGGATCACCCTGCGTTTGTGAGGGACCACCGTGACCCGAATGCTCGCCTCTCGGAGGAGCCGACGGACTGTTCTGGAAATAAAGTAGTAATGTCCTCGTGTTCCCACCCTCTCTCCTGGTGCTAAGGAAGTTGTCGTCACCACCATTTTAAGGGAGTCCGCTGGTCCGAGGTTCTGAACTATAGACAAATGGCTTGTAGTGAGGAAATGATCCGGTTAGGGTGTAGCTTCTAGACGTTAGGGTCAGGATCGGGTGTAGGATCACTAGCCTCCTCCAATGCCAGCTAGGGGAAGCAGAGGAGTTTACCCCTCCTTTGGGATTTGTTTTGTCCTCTTTTGTGTTTCTCATTCCCTATTTAGAAGTGGACGAGAGAGAAAATCCTATCAACTGGATAAACTGAAGCCGGGTGGGATGGGGGATCGATGCCCCATGAAAGCTGCCTGCCGTGGGGAAAGAGATTTTTGCTATTGGGTGCGTGCACTCACTGGGGAGGCAGAGACAAAGAGAAAGTGAGAAATCACCCCTTGGGGGGATGACCCTTTTCCTCTCAGGATTTTGGGCATGTACACACACATGCCTGGTGTAAGCTTTAAGCCATCGGCTCCGGGACTCGAACTGTGGCCAGCCATATGGGAGTTGTGCCACCTGCTGGCCCTCCAGAGACATTTCTTAACCTGTCCTTTTATGAAAGACTGGAGCTTGATAGAGTCAGGTATTGGAGGAAGGGCAGGTTCTGGATTTCTACTCAGTGGTCGAAAGACTCTTGAGATTTTTTTATATTCAGAATAGAGAAGAGGACTTAATTTGGTTTAGCATCAAGGCAGAGGAGATTTAAAAAAGAATACTTGTGGGACAATGAAAAGAGTCAGTGAATGGCCTCCAAAGCAGTGGGTGGGGATTCCTAGCCACTTGCTGAGTTTTCAAGATAAGATTGGAATGTGCACCATTACTGCATTTTTTCTTATCCTTGCCTTACAGGGAGATGTTTTCACTTACACTTATCTGATAGGCAACCTGTGTTTAAAACTGTAAATAATTTAGTTGTATACTCAGCCTTCTCCCAAGGATTGTAAAGGGGGTCCTCTGCACTTGGCAGTGCTTCGAAATCAAGGCTAAGCATTTTTATTGGCGCCTGATTGTGGGGTTTGTACTCTGCTACCTTGTTATCCAAGACAAATAAGTAACTGTGCACTGAGGGGTAAGAGGCAGCTCTCCTCTCGGACCCAGCCTGGTGCCCCGAAGTCCACGTCGGCCCCGCGCCAAATTTCCGTCCTCCTGCTGGAGTGATGTGTCCGTGGGAATCGGGCCGGGATCACCCTGCGTTTGTGAGGGACCACCGTGACCCGAATGCTCGCCTCTCGGAGGAGCCGACGGACTGTTCTGGAAATAAAGTAGTAATGTCCTCGTGTTCCCACCCTCTCTCCTGGTGCTAAGGAAGTTGTCGTCACCACCATTTTAAGGGAGTCCGCTGGTCCGAGGTTCTGAACTATAGACAAATGGCTTGTAGTGAGGAAATGATCCGGTTAGGGTGTAGCTTCTAGACGTTAGGGTCAGGATCGGGTGTAGGATCACTAGCCTCCTCCAATGCCAGCTAGGGGAAGCAGAGGAGTTTACCCCTCCTTTGGGATTTGTTTTGTCCTCTTTTGTGTTTCTCATTCCCTATTTAGAAGTGGACGAGAGAGAAAATCCTATCAACTGGATAAACTGAAGCCGGGTGGGATGGGGGATCGATGCCCCATGAAAGCTGCCTGCCGTGGTGAAGTAGAGACACAAGCTCCGGCTGCCCCGTGTCTGAACGGGAGAGGTTTCCCGCCGTCTTCTGGCTCAGAGTAGCTGTTCCTAAAAGGCAGGTTTAGAAACGAAGGCTCCTAATGTGCATGGAGGGACCTTGGAGTGCACCTCCTGGTAGCACAAAGCTGCAGTGAGTGTTGTGGGGAGAAGAGGTTCCTCTCCTTACTGCCTTCAGGCGTATGGCCAAGGGACCTGTAGCGTGAAAGTAACAGAAGAAGAATCTATGAATTTATTTAAGCTTTATGTGACATGGAGCCTTCTGGAATGAAGTCCCCCAGAAATAGAAATGTGTATATTTTTTATGCTCAGGCTTAATGATGCTTGGACAGTCATGCGGAAGTATTGCTAGACGGGGACCAGCAGGTGGCGTAATGGCTACGTTGCTGGGCTCCCGTGTAGTTGACCACTGTTCAAATCTTGGACCCAGGGGCTTGAAGTTCACGCTGGGCGTGTGTGCATGCATGCTCAAAATCCTGAGAGGGGAATGGAGGAGAAGGGATTGCAGTGTGGCCATCCCCCTGGGAGGTAATTTCTTAGTTTCCATCTCTGTGTCTCTCTCTGTCTTTCTGGTCAGTGCACAAGGCGTATAGCAAACATCTCTCTCAAAAAAAGAACTGTTGCTAGACAAATGAGGCCTCATCTCGTGATCATAAACCAGGGGGACCTCGGGACCTGTCTGCTCAGATTCTTCTCTGCCACGTGTCTTTGGAGAGAGGGGCCATCCTTCCCTTGGCTCTGGAGAGGCGCTTCTGGAATGAGACTCCTATAACCTACTTCAGGGATGGTCAGCTAGGGTTTATGACCCACTGCAGGGGAGAAGGGGTGCTTTCTTTTGGCTAATGGTTTGTCCCCCAGAGGTCGTGTTTTGGAATCAGGTCCCCATTGTGGTGGCATTGGAGGTGAGGCCCAGTGGGTGGTGATAGTTATGCAGGTGCCACCTTCATCAGCAGATTAGCAATGTCTTGCAGGGCCCAGTAAGCTGATCCTGCAGGCGTTGCCTTCGTGAATGGATTAGTACTGTCTCCCAGGACGCGGAGAGTTCTCGTTCTCCTGAGTAGGGTTAGTACTCGGAGAGTGGGTTGTTATATAAAGATGGCTGCCCTCAGGCCTGTCTCTGCGTGGACCATCTTCCTCTCTGCTCCTGCTGGCCACGTGGTGAGTAGCCAGCCTGAAGCCAGCCTTCGTACTTTGCAGCCATCAGAACCAAGAGTGGGACACAGGTCTGTCCTTGTGCCCCACCTGGCCTCAGGTATCTGTGAGCAACACAGTAGTGGGCGGAGACGGGGAGGGGAGGCGAGGCTAGCCTTCCTGCCTCTGCTGTTCTCACAAGTGCGGAGGGGCATGTTTGGGGTGTTTGCTTCAGATTCGACCCTGATCAACACCCTGAGAGCCTGGTCTGTACCCGGCCGGTGGTGGGGGACTAGCAGAGGGCCAGGCCTGGTATTGCACCAGCTGGGGTGTAGCCACAGGTGAGCCTTCGTGAGGGTTCTCTGGGCTGTTTACATGTGCAGTAAGGTGGTTACTTAGAGGGTGCGCAAGTAGGTAGGACTTAATTTCCATTCTGGGTATTTTATGATTCGTCTTATTTTCCTTTAGCTTCATATTAAAGCATAACTCTATAGGAAGACGTATACATTTCATGGGAGCAGTTAAATGCATTTTTCCCCTTGTACTCAGGTGTAAGCCAGCACCCAAGTTTTTGAGGACTTCTGTCAGCCCCAGCAGCTTCCCTTTCCGCCCCGATCCGTCCCACGTGCCCTCTCCCCACCGTCTTTGCTGTCCTCACGCACAGCGTTAGATTACGGACCAGTGCTTGTGTCGAAGGCCGGACCCCTTTGGACACAGATTCTGGGAGTGAGAGTAGGGCTCAGGAAATCCACTGGAGGAGCGCTTGGGGCCAGCTCTTGTGGGAAGAGGAAGGAGGGATGCAGGACTGGGAGAGCATTTCTGTCTCGGCTCACTCCCAGGAGAAAGTCTGAGCTGCGTGGAAATCGATCGCAGGGAACCTGGGCTGACCGTGGAATCCGGCTCCCGGCTCCCTGAACCTGCCTGCGGCACTCTGGGCCAGCCCAAAAGACAGCTTTTAACTTGTGAACGTTCAACAAATTGGCTTTAGAAATTCTAGTGAACATTTTAATGTTTTAAACCATGAAATACTTTGCTATTTCTGGCTTGGCAGGACTGACACTTAGACTGAGTGATCTGTGAAAACTCCATCTCGGTCTCTTGGCCCCACTGTGTGCTGGACTTGCTCGGCTTGTTTGCAGCCTTCGGAATGTTTCTGTTTAAAAGAAAAAAAAAGCCCTCATTTGTGTAGCTTTTCCAATGACATCAGGGAAAAGTCTGCCAGTGATGCTGATTTTGCCAACTAATAATAATAAAATAAAAACAATGACTCTTCCTTTAATCATTTCTGTAGGTCATGAGAAGGCACTGGTACCAGATTTGTCTCCTTAGCACAAAGGCTTATCAGAACAAGCAGCTGCTTAGCCTCCTCGGGTACTGACAGGATGCCCCCGCTTTTCCAGGCCAGATCCCTCGATTCCAGTTTACGAGCGTGGGTGGGTGGGTGGGAAGGAAGTTACCTTTCTGATGTTAAGAGGGTGCTCTGTGTGCACATCTTCATCTGCATGGGATTTTAATCGACCCGGAGATTGTGTTCGTCCCGGCTCACCAATTACTCCGTCCATTTCTATGAAGGCAAGTGGTGTTTTTCTCAGACCTGTTGAAAGAAAAACTGCAGACGAATTCCGTTTAGTTGAGCGAAGAACCATTCACAAGCCAGGCAGCCCTCAGGCCACGGCGTGGGCAAATGACGTGGGTGGCCAACCAAGCGCAGGGGGATGCTCGGAAGGTGGACGTGAGGTCGAGGGGCAGCTGGTCTGGAGCGGTTCGGAGGCTGGCCGGCTGCGACTGGCTGGGGCAGGGCTGCCGTGTTGGCGGACTCGGCTGCTACCGGAGCAGGCTCCTGGTCTGCTTCCGTTCGTTCATGAATTCTCAGTCAGCTCGATATTCCGTAGTTAGGTCCGCGGGTGTCCAGGGCTTTCTCAGGGCAGATCTAGTTTGGGTTGACAGATCTGTTACGTGGAAGCAGTAAAAGCCAGATGTCTTCAGGGATGCTGAGATAGCACCAACAGCTTCGTCCTGGGGTTAGGGTTTTAACAGGGACTGCTGGTTGGATTGGGGGAAATGCGTTGTTGGCGGCAGGGCCATGGAAGGTATCCGTGTGTTGTTGACTGACTCCTTGAAAGAAATTGATCCTGTGTTAAGGAAACAGAGAAGCCCCAAAACGGGGCCTGTAGGAACACGTGGCCACCCAGGGCCTGGACGTCTGTGCGATGAACCCCGTTTTACACCAGGGCCTGGAACAGTGAGCGCAGCCTGTGTTGGGCGTACACCTCTTCCTCCCTGGAAATGCTTCCACGAGTTCTGAGCTCAAGAGACGTCTCTTCTTAAATTCCGAGCCTCGTTATGTAGCCGTGGTCTGCAAGGTTTAATTGTGCCTTTGCTCTTTGGGGTCTTCGTAATTTCACCTTCTACTTTTTAGTTTATGGATAAGTTTCTTGAATAATACAACACAGGTGCAGAGTATCTTATGCAAAGTCTTTGGGGTCATGTGTTACGTAATTCCCCCATGACCCGGGGCGGTCCATCCCATGAATGTTCCGGTGACTGGCCACCATCTGGTCCCCCTGAACGGAGGAAGCAGGGTGGGTTGGGGGTGCTCACGCAGCGAGACTTGCTGAGCAGGAGCACCGCAGTGTCGCGGGGAGTTCCGTCGGTCCTGGGGCTGCTCGTGCGGGGAGGTGCCCCGAGGCCTGCTGGAGAGGGGCCGTGTGCCGAGGGTGGAGTGGAGTCGTGGCGGGCACACAGCTGGGGCTGGCAGTCCAGCCGAGGCATGACGGGGTGGGCCTTCCTGTGCCA